ATTTGGATGGTTGGTTGGGAGCGGGGCGGTGGGGGTGCTGTTGCTTAGACTCGAAGATGAAATGGGACAGATTGAGACTATGGAATCTTGAATTGCCTGTGTTGGGGGTGGCTGTGTTTAGTGGGATGGGGAAGGAGCGATAGTTACAACAACAACAAAGACAAAGAAGAAAAGAGCAAACAAACAAACAAGATATCCTGTTTATCGGAAAAGCAAAATGAAGATGTGTAATGGAAAAAAGGACAAATACGAGAAAACTAACGCCAAAGACTCTGCAACGATAACAAAAACAACAAAAAAATGGCGAAGAACACATCTTTGCACTTGTAGGAGGATTCGTACGAATCTGTAAACGCATAAACAAAAGCACGCATATACATACGTATCCACACAGATACGCTATGTTTCCTTTTCTTCTAATTCTTCTTCTTCTTCTTCTTCTTCTCCATCTTTCTCCTACTCCTCCCCTTCTTTCTTCTTCTTCTTCTCTCTCCTTCCCCGCCTCCTACTACTACTTCTCTCCCTCATTCCCCTCCTTCACCTTCTTATTCTTCTTTCCATCTTTCCCCTACTCCTCCCCTTCTTTCTTCTTCTTCTTCCTTTCTCTCCTTCTCTTTCTTATTCTTCTCTCCATCTTTTTCCCCTTACTTCTTCCTCCTTCTTCTTTCTTCTTTCTTCTTCTCCTTCTTCTCTCCCTTCTCATTTTTCTTCCCTTCTCCCCCTTCTTCTCCTTCTTCCCCATTCCCCTCCCTTCTCATTTTTCTCTTCCTCTCCATTCCCCTACTCCTCCCTTGTTCTTGTTGTTGTTGTTGTTCTTCTTCTTCTTCTTCTCTCCCTACTTCCCCTATGCTTCTACTTCTCCTTCTCTCCCTCATTTCCCTCATCCTCCTCCACCTCCTTATTCTTCTATCCCTCCTTCTCTCCCTCCTCCTTCTTCTTCTCTCTCACTATATATATATATATATATATATATATATATTATAGTTTTTAGTTCACCACTGCTGTGACCTGGTATTGAACTCACAACTGTTTGGGCCTAGTTACTGGATCTAACCAACTTCTTTATCCACTGGGTCATGTTTCCTCAAGGACGCACGGCCCAGTGGAAAACCAAAAATTGGAGAGTTGAGTTAAAAGGGAAATAACTGGGACATCCGGAAGAGGCATGGCCCGCAGAACTAGAACAATCTACTCCGGTGTACGAAATAAAGGGTTCGGTTTGAAATTTCAATCACCTGAAGAAGATGAGGATATCAGTCCGAATAATGTAAATAATGTAAGTAATCATAATACCTCATCTCAGAGATATAGAGGCCGAAACGTTGAGAATATGGCAATAAAGATGAGGATAACAGTCCGAATAATGTAAATAATGTAAGTAATCATAATACCTCATCTCAGAGATATAGAGGCCGAAACGTTGAGAATATGGCAATGAAGATGAGGATAACAGTCCGAATAATGTAAGTAATCATAATACCTCATCTCAGAGATATAGAAGCCGAAACGTCATCTCAGAGATATAGACAGATAGAGCGATGGATATGAATATAAATATAGAGAGACATAGACTGATCGATATGCATACAATACTTAAAATAGAATAAAGGGTTCGGTTCAAAATTTCAATCACCTGAAGAAGGCCGGAGCGTACACCGGCCGAAGCGTTGTGAATATGGCAATAAAGATGAATATAACAGTCCGAATAATATAAATAATGCAAGAAGCTGTTAGCATAGAATATTGCCATATTCACAACGTTTCGGCCATCGTACGCTCCGGCCTTCTTCAGGTGAATGTAAATAATGCAGTAAAAACAAGTATAAATTTTAACATTTGTTTTGTTTTTTGTTATTCATGTGAAACGTTGAAATAAAACGATTTTTTTCTTTTTCTCGTTCTAAATTTTCTTAATCAGAATAAAATGAGTTGAGATGAAATGACAATTATACATTCACGTGTGACGTCATCTAATTAGGTCAAGTAATATCTGCAGTGGTAGAGAGGAGGGTAAGTATTGGGTGTTGGGAGGGGATGTGGTTTTTTAGGGAGTGAGGGAAGTTGTCAACAACATTTTGTCTTTTCCCCGCCTCGATTCATAATATGACGGGAAAATGATGTGCGACAGAAAAGAGAGATCGTTTCTGAAAAGGAAAGGAAAAGAAAAGAATTGATCTGAGCATTGCAAGGATTTCAATGATTTCATTTGTTTTTCAGTTTAATTTTTGCTGACTCTTATTATTATTATTATTATTATTATTATTGCCGATGATAGATAGATAGATAGATAGATAGATAGATAGATAGATAGATATGAACAGGCTATGAGAGACATGAAAAGAATATAGATAGATAGGCAAATAGATAGATTGATACGAAGAGAATTAGATAGATAGATAGATAGATAGATAGATAGATAGATAGATAGATAGATAGATAGATAGATACGTGCGTGCGTACGTACATATATTGGGAGAAATAAAGAAATACACTGAGATAGAAATAAAGAAATGAATAGATTTAGATAGATAGATAGATAGATAGATAGATAGATAGATAGATAGATAGATACCTACGTACGTACATTGTATATAGGGAGAAATAAAGAAATAGATAATAGATGAGATAGAAATAAAGAAATGAAAAGATTTAGATAGATAGATAGATAGATAGATAGATAGATAGATACGTACGTACATACATATGGAGAAATAAAGAAATACACTGAGATAGAAATAAAGGAATGAATAGATAGATAGATAGATAGATAGATAGATGATAGGAAGAGAAGGTATATAGATCCGAAGAGAATTAGATAGATAGATAGAAAAATAAGAAGAAAAATATGATATATATATATATATATATATATATATATATATATATATATATATATATATATATATTAAGACATTTTTCTGTTAATACATTCTTTTATAGATACAAATATTTAAGTAAATGCTCTGTTTTTTTCATAAACAGTATTAATAACATTTACCGGCCTGAATGTCTGAGAAATTTTCATAGAAAATATTCGTCCTCCGACAGGAATCGAACTTGTATCCTATACGGAACCGTCATTTAGCCTGACATGCCTTAACCGATTGAGCCACAAGGGATCGTTCGATTAATACGCCCTGACCCGAGGTGGTAGCTCCTGTTAGGGTCCCAACTATAGGCAAATAGTGCCTACCAGGGCTGACCATGCTCTTTAGTGTTATAGAACACGATTTGTTTAGGAGATGGAAAACTCTTATACGAAAAGCCTGAGGTATATTGTCTGCTTCGTCTGTGGCATTTATTTGCATCGACTGAGTGTATCAATAGCACCGAAAAGTGTGGATGGTTCTGCACAAGCCTTCACCACTTTAATCAAATCACTTGTGTGGATTTTCTGGCGTTTTACCTTGATTCGTTCTTATCCACGCTGATCACTTGCAAGGTCCGCTGGCGTTAGAGTGAAGGCGACGGGGTCTGGTAAAGGATATTACTGGAAGGCTCTAGCTAGAGCTCTACACAGTGGCAGACCGATGGGTGATGGCCGTTCTTTGACAAAACCCGTGAGCGATTGTGATGTCCGTGTCCTCCATCGGTGACAAAGCAGCCCTATCTGTACTGCTTTCCCTATTATGGGAATAAGGCAATAAAAGGATCCCTAAGCATTGCTTGCTCACACAGAGACGTGGCAGCCTGCTGCTGCTGTCTGGTTATCCAATAACACAGTCGAAACAGCAAGAAAGATAAAAAGAAATATAAGAAGAATTTTGATTTTTAATACTGGAACGTTCGCACAATGTTTCTGCACCAGAGTGTAAAACGGCTCTTGTTTCTCTCGAATTGAAGAAGTATAACATCGACATAGCGGCCATTAGTGAAACAAGTCTGGATGGCAATTCTCAGCTTAGGGATGAAAAAGTTAGATACGTGTTTTTGTGGGCTGGCAAGACTGAGAAAAATCCACGCCAGCCTGGTGTTGGCTTCGCCATCAAGTCAGATCTTGCTAGCTCACTGCCTTCCTTACCTAAAGGTGTATCAGATCGTATAATGGCATTAAGCCTCAATCTGGAGTGCAACACCCGTATGATGATGTTTAGCTGCTACGCGCCAACCTTTGGTAGTTCAGATCAAGAAAAAGATGATTTTTACAATCTCCTACGGGATGCCATCTTCAAAATCCAACATAAGGATAAATTAATCCTTACAGGTGACTTCAATGCTCGGGTTAGCAATGATTATCATTCTAGGAAGGGTGTTTTAGATCACCATGCTATTGGTCGTGAGAATTCTAAAGCATTACACTTTCTCACTATCTGCAAGGAATTTGACCTTAGTATTACTAATACCTTCCACCAGCAATCCAGCATCCTTGTTCGAAAGACTGGCATCTCAACGACTACGTCATCACCAAACGACGGGACATAAGCCGAGAGGTCAAAGAACGTCAGATCTAATGACAGTTTCCCGTAGGTGACCACAGGTTCGAATCCTGCCGGAGAACGCATCATTTATCTAATAAGATTTCTCTAATATTCAGGCCGGTAGGCGAAAATAAATACTGTTTATTAAGTGAACGGAACTTCTACTCAAACATGAGTATCCACTAAGAATAACATTTATGAAATAAAAAAGATATATGTGTATGTGGGTTTAAGAAGTGAGAACAGCAAATGGCAATCGTCTGTTTCATGTTTAAATTAAATCTTCAGGCCATCTCAAATGATGGTCTGAAGATTTACATACAGGGCCGGTACAAAAGTTTTATGCAATTTTCATAAGGCAGTATTTATATAAAATACAAATTTTATTGGAACTATAATAATGGATCATATACAATATAAGTGAACAATTCAAGTAGAAAAATTGAAAATAAATAAAGTGTATCTAAACACAAATTAGAGACCTGTCATAATAGATCATACCATCTTAAATAATTCAACAAAGTTTTGCGGCAATTTTTCTCTCCCAATCTTTTCAGGTAAATCTTTCTTGTGGGTAACTTTATGTGTTTCTTTCTTTCCTATCTATATATCTCAGTCTGTTCATATCTATCTATCTATCTATCTATCTACCTCAGTCTGTTCATATTTTTCTTTCTATCTATCTATCTATCTATCTATCTATCTCAGTCTGTTCATATTGTTCTATCTATCTATCTATCTATCTATCTATCTCAGTCTGTTCATTATCTATCTATCTCAGTCTTTTCATATCTCAGTCTTTTCATATCTATCTATCTCAGTCTTTTCATATATATCTATCTATCTCAGTCAGTTCATATCTATCTATCTATTTATCTATCTCAGTCTGTTCATATCTATCTATCTATCTATCTATCTCAGTCTGTTCATATTTTTCTTTCTATCTATGTATCTATCTATCTATCTATTTATCTCAGTCTGTTCATATTGTTCTATCTATCTATCTATCTATCTATCTATCTCAGTCTGTTCATTATCTATCTATCTCAGTCTTTTCATATCTATCTATCTATCTCAGTCTGTTCATATTTATCTATCTATCTATCTATCTCTGTCTATTCATATCTATCTATCTATCTCAGTCTATCTATCTATCTATCTATCTATCTCAGTCTGTTCTATTCATATCTATCTATCTATATTCATATCTATTCATCTATCTATCTATCTATCTATCTATCTATCTCAGTCTGTTCATATCTATCTATCTATCTATCTATATTCATATCTATCTATCTATCTATCTATCTATCTAACTCAGTCTATAATGCATACCCTGTTCAAGGGCTTCGTGCCCACCGATCTCTGATACCCCCGGATCTTTGATACATCCTCCCCCACTCTATTTCATCTGAATTTACATGTAGTATTCATATAAAATACACATTTTATTGTAACCTTATTATGTACAATAATAGATGATATGCAATATAGGTGAAGAATTCAACTAGAAAAATTAAAAATGCATCTAATTACAAATTAGAGACCTGTCATAATAGATATTTCCATCTTAAACAAAGCAATAATATTTGGCGGCAATTTTTCTCTCTCAATATGTTTTATATATATATATATATATATATATATATATATGTGTGTGTGTGTGTGTGTGTGTGTGTTTCTTTATTTCTTTCCTTCTATCTATTTATCTATCTATCAATCTATCTATCTGTTCACTGTCTATCAATCTATCTATCTCTCAATCTATCTATCTGTTCATTATCTATCTATCTATCTATCTCTCAATCTATCTATCTATTTCTGTTATTATCTATCTATATATATATATATATATATATATATATATACATGAATTATGAATTATTCACACAAACTAATGCAAAGGTTAATGCTTTAAATGGCGAGACATCCATCATCGCAAACAATTCAAATAGTATACAAAAACCTCCAGATCCGTTATGAATGAATTGATCCTTGTTTTATATATATATATATATATATATATATATATATAGGTCTGCTCTACGGTTGTATTGAGCGCTTTTGTTAGTTAATTGCTTACTCGTATCGGGGATTTTTCTTTGGGCTTCAGACCTGCATCTGTCCGATTTTCTTGTCGGCAGAAGTTGATGTTTGTAGCTCTTTCTTTTATTAAAACCTTTTGTTCCCTCGAGATTGATTTGCTAATAATCAAATCAAAAATTCGAGGTTTTTCGAAACATGTCTACTTTTATCTATAATCATATATATATATATATATATATATATATATATATATATATATATATATATATATATATTGAACAATAAAAAATATTAAAAATTAAAATCTTCAGACACACTGGGTTTGTAGATTAATATTCTTTTCGTTTTATTATTATCATTTCATTTAGATTCCTCCACGAGTCGGCCAACATATATATATATATATATATATATATATATATATATATATATATATATATATATATATATATATATATATCAGTCTGTTCACATCTATCTATCTATATATCTATCTATCTATCTCACTCAGATTATATCTATCTATCTATTTATCTATCTATCTCAGTCTCTTCATATCTATCTATCTATCTATCTATCTAAGTCTGTTCATTTTTCTCAGTATTTCTAGGATGAGGAGTCATTATTATTAATATTCTTTACGTTCAGACGATTATCCTCATCTTTGTTGTAATTGTCATAATAACCAGACGACAGATCCCAATATATGGCCAACGGAACAAGAATGATTTATTACAATTTATCTACCTAACCAAGAACTTACAGAATCTAACAAAGAGTCCCTTCATCTAACTCCCCCCCCCACTTTTCAAAACCGCAAAATTATTTTCTTTTAACTCTTTTTTATTTTAAGACGTTTGTTGTTGTCCGTCCATTAAAAGCATGTTCAACTTCCTGGCAACAATCGGACATCTTGTTTTGCCATTTTTTTTCTGTCTGACTTCTTTTTTTTTTTATTCAGTATAATCACATTTTCATACAAATTTTACTATAACCTAATTATGTACAATAATGGGTTAGATACAATATAGGTGAAGAATTCGACTAGAAAAATTGAAAATGAATACAATATGTATATCTAAATACAGATTAGAGAAAGATCATTCTATCTTAAATAAATCAACATTCTGTCTATATTTCTGAGATAAGGTATTATGTACACTAGTTACATTATTCGGACTAGTGTCATCATCATTGTCGCCATATTTATTACAACGTTTCGGCCTTTCAGTATCTGTCTATATTTCTCAGATGAGGTATTATGTACACTATTTACATTATACGAACTATTGTCTTCTTCTTTGTTGCCATATTTATTACAACGTTTCGGCCTTTCAGTATCTGTCTATATTTCTCAGATGAGGTATTATATATATTATATTACATTATTCGGACTAGTGTCCTCATCTTTGTCGCCATATTTATTACGTTTCGGCCCTTCAGTATCTGTCTATATTTCTGAGATAAGGTATTATGTACACTATTTACATTATTCGGACTATTGTCCTCATCTTTGTCGCCATATTTATTACAACGTTTCAGCCTTTCAGTCTCTGAGGTGAGGTATTATGTACACTATATAAAATATATGTTAGCACGTAAATGAATGTAATGGATTTGACTGGAATTCGAACTCGGCTCTCAGATTCGAATCCGAGCCGCTATACATTACTCCGCCATGCCTCCAAAAATAAATACAATGTATCTAAATACAAATTAGAGACATTTTATAATGAATCATCTGAAATAAATCAACAAATCTTATGCGGTAATTTTATCATCAACTTGAAATTTTTCTTGTTAAACAGTTGAATAAATTTAACACATTCGAAATTATGAATAACGAACTGTAAATTTTATTTAGTGTTTTTTTTCGAAATAAACAAAACAAATTCACAGATGTGGACAAAAAAAAATCCCCAGAATCACGTGAAAATCTGCGAATTTTTTCATTATTTAATAGTCAGTTATGCTTAGTTTAATTTATAAATGTAAAATGTAGCTAGAAAAAATATTGGTGAACAATTAAACTAGAAAAATTGAAAACAAATACGATGTATCTCAATACAAACTAAATATATGTCATAATAGATTATTACATCTTAAACAAATCAACATTTTTTAACATCGACTTGAAATTTTTCTTGTTAAAAAAAGTTGCAGAATTGAACCCATTTCAACATTATGGATAAAAAAGTTTAGCGTATATTTTCTTGTTAACTTTAATGCCTCCAAAACGAAACTGCTTTCCTTTACTCACTACAGAGAATCCTTCCTAACTCCTCTCAGAATGACTGAATCCCAACTCCTCGAGAGGGCCTCGTTACGACTGCTTGGTCTCACGCTGTCCACTGACATGTGATGGAATAAATACATTGAATCAATAGCTTCATCTACTGCAAGGAAAGTTGCTTCTCTGTGTCGCTCCAGAAAGTTCTTCTCGCCCGAGTCTATCCTTCAAATCTATAAATCAACCTTCCGTCCTTGCATGGAATATTGCTTATATATCTGGTGCTCCCGCTGTACGTCTCGAGGTCCTCGAAAAAATCCAGAGACGAATCCCACATACGTGCTTTGGCCTCCCTCTGTCTATTTTCACGGTAACTGTTCCGACGAGCTACTTTCGCTGGTTTCCCGGACTTCATGAATTTCAGCGAGCCACCAGGCTGACATCCCAGTCCCACCCCTTCACTGTCAAAACAGTTAAATATAACCGTCTCTTCTACTCAAAAAGCTTCTCCTGCACTTCCCGTCTGTAAAACTCCCTTCCCCTTACTTGCTTTCTCTAATCTTCAAATATTCAAGTGTAATGTCAAGCAACATCTGACACCCTGAGCTTGTTCCCCGTCCTTCCTGAAACATGCCTCTTTACTCTTGTTCCCAATCCTCTGTAACCTCTTGCGTGCTAATGGCACTCCCGCCTTGCTTGGGGTGAATTGCCTTAAGAAAAACAGAGTATTAGCCTACCTCATGTATAGTGCGATTCCTGGAGTTTTTACATGAATTTTAACCTTTCCAGATAAAATGATCTGTGTATAGTACAACCGGTCACAGAAAATGCCCGATTTTTAACCTTTTCAAAAATATTATCTGTGTATAGTGCAAACTTCTGGGGGTCTTTTTTTGGGTTTTTTTGGTTTTCTGATCAGAAAATTCGCACTAAACAGAATAAAATGTATAAAACTTGCATTATAAGGTATAAAATGTATAAAACTCGTACTATAAGTATAAAAGGTATAAATCTTGCATTATAAGGAATAAAAGGTATAAAACTTGAACTATAAGTATAAAAGGTATAAATCTTGCACTATATGTATAAAAGGTATAAAATATAAGGAATAAAACGTATAAAATTTGCACTATAAGGTATAAAAGGTATAAAACTTGCACTATAAAAGTGGTATAAAAACATTATAAGTATCAAATCAATAAGGTATAAGAGGTAAAACTTGCATTATCAATGGTATAAGGTATAAAAGGTATAAAACTTGTAATTATAAGTATGTATAAAATTGCACTATAAGTATCAATAAGGTATAAAACTTGCACTATAAGAATCAATGGTATAAAAAGGTATAAAAAGGTATTTTAAAAATTGCACTATATAAGTAAATAAAATTCACTATAAGTATCAATGGTATAAAACTTGCACCATAAGTATAAAAGGTACTGTTTTTTCGAAAGCAAAACAAATTCACGGAATTGGACGAAAAAAGAAAAAATACCCCCAGAATGACGTCAAAATCCGAGAAAATTTTCAATTCTTCAATAGTCAGTTGTGCTTAGATTAATCTGTAACGGATAAAAATGTAGCTAGAAAAAAAAGCTAATGTTAATAAGATACATTTATATCCGTCACAAAGCACTTGCCCAGGTCTAACAATCAGGCTTGCAAAGCAGGTGAATTTGTGGGTAATACTCACCGGCCCTAGTCGTGAGGGAAGTCAATATTTGGATTATATCATTTTTTTTTCTCTTCTACCGAGTGCGATGGGTAAATTGCCGCTTAAATGACGCAAAAATTAAAATTGCACTGACATCTCATTTTAACATATATTTATCAAAATTGCACAAAAATATCTTGAAATACAAAAGAGTAAATTTATTCCATAAAATCACCATTGGCTTCACACATGGCCTCTAGACTTCGGAATATACTGCAACTCTTCTGGATAGTCTATTTGTTTAAGTTGGTGAACGCTGCCATAATCCTTGCCTTCAGTTCATATTTGATGTTACAAGGAGTTTTGTTGGTCACTTATTCCACTGCGCCCCACACATAATAATCAAGGGGGCCACAGTCTGGGGAGTTACGTGTAAGGGATGAAGTGGTCGCAGAAGTGGCGAACAATAACTGAACAGTACTAAATAAAAATATTTCACCTTGATTATTTTTATCTTGCTCTGATGATGTTCTCATTGAACGAAACGTTGACAAAAGAATGAAATTTAAACATCAAACTGGTTTTCTTATATTTCATTTTACATACTTTGTTCAGATATTTCATTTTAGACATCTCTCTCCCATATATATATATATATATATATATATATATATATATATATATATATATATATATTTAGACACACTCACACACAGAACGTGCAATGAATAAATTGTCTTCTAAATTACACAAAAAATGAAAGCAACACTGACATCTCATTTTAACAGATATATTTACCAAAATTACACAAAAATATCTTGAAATACTAAAGAGTAAATTTATTCAATGAAATTGCCATTGGCTTCAATCACGGCCTCAAGACTATTTCAGAATCTCCTGCAACTCTTCTGCATTGTCTCCTTTTTTAAGTTGGTAAATGCTGCCATAATCCTTGCCTTCAGATCATCTTTGGTGTTACAAAGAGTTTTGCCAATCTTTTGCTCAACACATACTAATCAAGGGTGTTGCAGTCTGGAGAGTTAGGTGGCCAGATGTAAGGGGTGATTTGGTCACAAAAATTGTCTAGCAGCTATGGCTGGGTTCTTCTGCTTATGTGGCATAGTGCAGAGTCATGTTGCCAAACATAGGGTCTTGCAGCAGCCACTCTCTTGACCCAGGGCAGCACTACGTCCTCAAGGCACTTTATGTAGGTCTCTGTGTTGAACCTGAGGGCTTCACCAACAAATTTTGCGAGTTCTTTTTAAATGTATAATTAAAAAAAAATCAACCACATTTGTTTGTTAATAAATGATTAACTATAAAGATTGCCTATTGTCCTATGGATGTGTAGATTGGCATTTAGTAAGAGATTATGCTTAATAATTTAATAAAAAGATTCCTTTAAATTTTGCTCTTGAAAAGAGATTTTTTTTTCAATTTTGAATCTGTGATGAATCCAAATAAATCTGGAAACGAGAAGTTAAAAGGGAATTTCTGCAGAATAATTCTTTCCTTTTAGCCAACATTATTTTTTGCTCATTTTAAAACAAGAATAATTCTGCATTCTCTCTTGAGATTTTTTTAAAAAAAAAAAGCACTATGTTACAGACATTGTGCCATTCAGCCTTCTTCATGTTTATATCAATCTGATTAACCCTTTATTTAATCTATGGGGGTACACTGTTCTCATTTCACTGTTCATGTCTAGGGATACCTCATTTAGTTCTTATTTTTATTTAGTACAGCTTTATTTAGTCCCTGGATTGGACTGTGTGGACTTGCACTCAATGGAAAAGTGGGCAAGCAATAACTGAACAGTACTAAATAAAAATATTTCAACTCAATTCTTTCTTATCTTGTTTTGATGATGTTCTTATTGAACAAAACGTTGGCAAAAAGAATAAAATTTAAACATCCAACTGGTTTTCATATATTTCACCTTATATACTTTGTTCAGATATCGCTTATCAGTCATCTCTCTCTCTCTCTCTCTCTCTTTCTCTCTCTCTCTCTCATTCATATATATATATATATATATATATATATATATATATATATATATATATATAAAGGAGGCAAGGTGGAGTAGTGTATAGCGGCTCGGATTCCAGTCGAATCCATTACATTCACTGACGTGCTAATACCCTTGAGAAACGTATTAATTCTCTTCTTTTCCCTCCAGCTATGGGTAAATAGGTGGACAGATTGGGTTCTATAGTCTTGGATGTTATCTGGTCTAGGAGAAGGACAACTCTGAAAGTCCTTAAAGGTCGTTTGGGGATCTTTATGGCACACGGTGGCATTCGGCCGTATCAAAAAATGTGTTTGGGTCTGCACTATAGTCAAATCTGGTGTCTGGGCTGTCGGTTCCTAGGAGCTGAGCTACTTGACCTTCATACCTCGAATACGACGGGAGAGTCCACGATATATATATATATATATATATATATATATATATATATATATATACAGGTGGTATTTTGGCCGAACTTAAACAAGGAGACCATCCAGAAAAGTTTCAGGACATTCCGAAGATTCAAGATATTTTCTGTAATTTTGTAAATATATGTGTTAAAATGAGGAATCGGTGTTATTTTTATTTTTAGGTAATTTAGAAGACAACTGATACATTGCACCATATATATATATATATATATATATATATATATATATATATATATATATATATATACAGGATGAGATGGATAAATTGTCTAAATTTTGCAAAAAATGAAAATAACACTGACATCTCATTTTAACTGATATATTTACCAAAATTACACAAAATATCTTGAAATACTGAAGAGTAAATTTATTAAATAAAATCGCCATTGGCTTCAACAACGGCCTCCAGACGACTTCAGAATCTCCTGAAACTTTTCTGGACGGTCTCCTTGTTTAATTTTGGCTAATAAACCACTCGTAACAAAGTGGTGACCATGACGCGATTGTGACAAATTGTGACACTGATTCCTGTCATGTTGTAACGTGTGCGAGTAACAATGATTCAGATGCTTGTTGTATCGTCCAATAGTTCTTCTCACATTTATGTTGCGCCGACAAATTAAAAAGTGCCAAAAAATTTGCTCCGAGTATGCATGTCCTGACACTGGCTTGAATAAATAAGCTTGTAAAATCTCATCGCGTCGTGCTCATTTTTTTACAGATCTTTCTCAGGACACGTTCCTTAGCGACAACAATGAGCTTGTTGTATGGACGTCAGAGGAGGAGGCAAGTACCTCACATTATGAGGATATGTAGGATAGATATATTTTGACAACAGACTTGAATAGGTTAAGATCGTAGCGAACGCAGGAGCATCTCTCCTAGATTGGTCCATGCTTAGAATATTGCTGCCACATATGGCCTGGTACTCCACAGATTAATCTAGATGTCTTTGATAAAATCCAAAGAATCAGCAATATTATTCATCCTGTTCTGGCATCTCGGCTTCAGTCATTTTCCCACCACCATAAAGTTGCCTCCCTGTGCCTTTTCTATAAATACTTTCATTGTATTGTCTCGGATGAGCTAAGGTACGTAGACTTTTTGAATTGAAGCGCTGTACTAAACAGGCGACGAGATTTCCTCAATTTACAGTTGAGTTGCATAGATATAAGCGCAAGTTCGATTCCTTTCTCATACTTCTCGCGTGTGGAACGTCCGGCTTTCCAGCCAACATGTAAATGCAATGTCAATCGCTATCTCCTCTCCTCCTGATTACACCTCTTTGGTTCTCGCTCCTTAGTAATGTTTCTGCTTTCTAATTCTTCAGCACTCAGTAACCCTGTGTGTCTTAGTGGCTTAGCTGCCTTGTTTGGGGCGAACTCCATTAAAAAAAATGTCCGTTTCTTACCAGAGGGACTTTCTGTTTGCGAAGGCTTTTCATCATATATATAATAATAATAATAATAATAAGAAGAAGAAGAAGAAGAAGAAGAAGAATAATAATAATAAGAAGAAGAAGAAGAAGAAGAATAATAATAATATAAGAAGAAGAAGAAATAATTAATAATATAAGAAGAAGAAGAAGAAAATAATAATAATAATAATAATATAAGAAGAAGAAGAAGGAGAAGAAGAAGAAATAATAATAATATAAGAAGAAGAAGAAGAAATAATAATAATAAGAAGAAGAAGAAGAAGAAGAAAAAGAAGAAGAAGAAATAATAATTATAAGAACAATGATAATAATAATAATATAAGAAGAAGAAGAAGAAGGAGAAGAAGAAGAAGAAGAAGAAATAATAATAATATAAGAAGAAGAAGAAGAAGAAGAAGAAGAAGAAGAAGAAATAATAATAAGAAGAAGAAGAAGAAGAAAAATAATAATAAGAAGAAGAAGAAGAAGAAATAATAATTATAAGAACAATGATAATAATAATAATATAATATAAGAAGAAGAAGAAGGAGAAGAAGAAGAAATAATAATGATAATAATATAAGGAGAAGAAGAAGAAGGAGAAGAAGAAGAAGAAATAATAATAATATAAGAAGAAGAAGGAGAAGAAGAAGAAGAAATAATAATAATAATAATATAAGAAGAAGAAGAAGAAGAAGAAGAAGAAAAATAATAATAATAATATAAGAAGAAGAAGAAGAAGAAGAAGAAGAAATAATAATAATAATAAGAAGAAGAAGAAGGAGAAGAAGAAGAAATAAGAAATAAGAAATAATAATAATAATAAGAAGAAGAAGAAGAAGAAAATAAATAATAATATAAGAAGAAGAAGAAGGAGAAGAAGAAGAAATAATAATAATATAAGAAGAAGAAATAATAATAATAATATAAGAAGAAGAAGAAGAAGAAGAAAATAATAATAATAATAAGAAGAAGAAGAAGAAGAAGAAGAAAAAGAAGAAGAAGAAATAATAATTATAAGAACAATGATAATAATAATAAATAAGAAGAAGAAGAAGAAGAAGAAGAAGAAGAAGAAGAAAATAATAATATAAGAAGAAGAAGAAGAAGAAGAAGAAGAAATAATAATAATAAGAAGAAGAAGAAGAAGAAATAATAATTATAAGAACAATGATAATAATAATAATAATAATATAAGAAGAAGAAGAAGAAGGAGAAGAAGAAATAATAATGATAATAATATAAGAAGAAGAAGAAGAGAAGAATAATAATAATATAAGAAGAAGAAGAAGAAGAAGAAGAAAAATAATAATAATAATATAAGAAGAAGAAGAAGAAGAAAATAATAATAATAATAATATAAGAAGAAGAAGAAGAAGAAGAAGAAGAAGAAATAATAATAATAAGAATAAGAAGAAGAAATAATAATAATAATAATATAAGAAGAAGAAGAAAAGAATAATAATAATAATATAAGAAGAAGAAGAAGGAGAAGAAGAAGAAATAATAATAATATAAGAAGAAGAAGAAGAAGAAATAATAATAATAATAATATAAGAAGAAGAAGAAATAATATTAATAATAATATAAGAAGAAGAAGAAGAAGAAGAAGAAGAAAGAAATAATAATAATAATAATAATATAAGAAGAAGAAGAAGAAGAATAATAATAATATAAGAACAAGAAGAAGAAGGAGAAGAAGAAATAATAAGAATAAGAAGAAGAAGAAAATAATAATAATAATAATATAAGAAGAAGAAGAAGAAGAAATAATAATAATAAGAAGAAGAAGAAGAAGAAGAAGAAGAAGAAAAAGAAGAAGAAGAAATAATAATTATAAGAACAATGATAATAATAATAATATAAGAAGAAGAAGAAGAAGAAAATAATAATAATAAGAAGAAGAAATAATAATAAGAAGAAGAAGAATAATAATAAATAATAATTAAGAACAATGATAATAATAATAATATAAGAAGAAGAAGAAGAAGAAATAATAATAATAATAATATAAGGAGAAGAAGAAAAGGAGAAGAAGAAGAAGAAATAAGAATAAAGAAGAAGAAGAAGAAGAAGAAGAAGAAGAAATAATAATAATAATAATATAAGAAGAAGAAGGAGAAGAAGAAGAAATAATAATAATAATATAAGAAGAATAAAGAAGAATAAAATAATAATAATAATAAGAAGAAGAAGAAGAAGGAGAAGAAGAAATAATAATAATAATAAGAAGAAGAAGAAGAAGAATAATAATAATATAAGAAGAAGAAGAAATAAATTATTAATAATAAGAAGAAGAAGAAGAAATAATAATAATAATAATAAGAAGAAGAAGAAGAAGAAAAATAATATTAATAATAATATAAGAAGAAGAAGAAGAAGGAGAAGAAGAAGAAATAATAATAATAATATAAGAAGAAGAAGAAGAAATAATAATAATAATAGAAGAAGAAGAAGAAGAAATAATAATAATAATAGAAGAAGAAGAAGAAGAAATAATAATAATAATAGAAGAAGAAGAAGAAGAAGAAGAAGAAGAAGAAGAAGAATTAATATATTACTGCATAAGGTTTCCTCAAACTTTTAGCTCCTTTTGCCTAATCTATATTTCTGGCTAATGTCAATCATAGAGGTGACGGATTTTAAGTTTAAAGTTACGCCTTCACTAAAAGATTTGACCCCATCCACTAATGATTAAATGGTTTCAGTATCTTAGCTTACTAGTAGTTAGTTAAACGAATGAAGGCATGAAATTTACTGCTAATTATTAAATCCAGAGAGTGGCCCTAAGATTTTGGCCAATAGTATCTATCTATCTATCTATCTATCTATCTATCTATCTATCTATCTATCTATTTCAGTCTGTTCATTATCTATCTATGTATCTATCTATGTATCTATCTCGTAATCTTTCTCACTTATCACTTATATACTATTACATTACTTTCTTACTTTCTTTCTCATAATTTACACCTTTCTTACTTCTTATAATTTATCACCTTTCTTTTTTCTTTCTTTCTTTCTTTCTTTCTTTCCTTCCTTCTTTCTTTCCGTTTGTTATGCCGTATTTCTTTTCGCTTGTCTTTCTTTTTTCTTTCTTTCTTTCTTTTTGCCGCTTCTCTTATCACTTATAAACTATTACATTTTTTTCTTACTTTCTTTCTCATAATTTACACCTTTCTTACTTCTTATAATTTATCACCTTTCTTTCTTTCTTTCTTTCTTTCTTTCTTTCTTGTAATCTATCATTTTTCTTTTTTTTCCTTCTTTACTTCCTTACTTCATTTACTTTAACTCCCTTCTTTTTTTCTTTCTTTTTTCTTTCTCTCTCTCTCTTTCTTTCTTTCTTTTCTTTCTTTCTTTCTTTGCTTACTTTAATAATAATAATAACAATAATAATAATAACGAAATTAACTCGTTACTGCATAAAATTTTCTTAAAATTTTAGCTTTTTTGGCTTAATCTACGTTACTGGCTAATGGTAATCTTAGGGCTGGAAGATTACAAATGTTTGTTATCCCCCCCTCTCTCTCTCTCTCTCTCTAAGAAGAATTGGATGTCATGCGCTAATGGCTTAAATAGTTTCAGCATCCTAATTTAGTAGGCGTTACAAAAACCCAAGAAAGCATGAAACTTACAAATTATTAAATCCTAAGGTTTGCTTCAAACTTTTGGCATATATGTATATGAGGTTGGTGGAAATAAAAAGAGATTAATTGATTTATGCAGGTTATTTTAAAGTCATAAAATATTTTTAGATTCTAAGAATTTTGGGGAGATCATGATGATTTATTCATACAAGTCATATTAATTAACCCATAGCTGGGGTAGAAGGGATGGATTCATACCTTTACCTACGGTATTTGCATGCAAGTGAATATAGCAACTAGAATTGGTACTCGCCTCCCGGATTTCCAATTTCGAGCCGTTATCCATCACACCGCTATTCGAAAATTGTCACACATCTAGTTACTGACCAGGCGTGACATTGCTCAACTTCGGTGATCGTACGAAAACCGGTATTTCAACTTGATATGGTTGAAGTCGAATAAAAAGGGAAGAGAATACTAAAGGTAAGAAAATGAGAGAGAGAGAGAGAGTAAAGTCAAAGAAAGAAAAAAAGAAAGAAAGAAGCAAACTAACAAATAAGAAAAAAAGAAACAAACAAATAAGAAAGAAAAAATAAAGAAAGAAAGAAAGAAGCAAACAAACAAATAAGGAAGAAAGAAAGAAACAAACAAACAAATAAGAAAGAAAGAAAGAAACAAACAAACAAAAAATAAGAAAGAAAAAATAAAGAAAGAAAGAAAGAAGCAAACAAACAAACAAGAAAGAAAAAAGAAAGAAAGAAAGAAGCAAACAAACAAATAAGAAAGAAAGAAAGAAAGAAACAAACAACAAATAAGAAAGAAAAAAGAAAGAAAGAAAGAAAGAAAGAAAGAAAGAAGCAAACAAACAAACAAGAAAGAAAAAAGAAAGAAAGAAAGAAGCAAACAAACAAATAAGAAAGAAAGAAAACAATCAAACAAATAATAAAGAAAGAAAGAAAGAAAGAAAAAATAAAAGGAAGGCAGAAAAAAGAGAGAAAGGAAAAGAAGGTGGTAGAAAATCAGAAAAGAAAGAAAGAAAGAAAGAAAGAAAGAACGAGGAAAGAACGTAAGAAAATAAAGGGGGGAAACTGAAAAAGAGAGACAGACAAAATAATAGAATCAAAATCGAAATCACCATAAACGTATAAACAATCAACATTCCCACCCATTTTTTTTTTAAAAAAGCATATAACTTAATAAAAGAAGGAGGCATTTTCGAATATCTACAGTCTCCACGAATTACAAAACAACCAGGACTTCCCCCACCCACAATAACTTCCCCACCCCACTCAGACCCTCACCCAACGTCCATCAGCATCTGAGTCAGCAATCTTTCAACCATGGACCATACCAACACAACACCCGCCCAGTCATTAAAAACCGTCCCTACCCCAAACCAACGAACCATTTATATGTACAAACTGACCCCTGGCGGCAAGACACAAAACGACAAAGACGGAACGTTGGAATTGGTAGAAATCGGGGATGGTGGCGGGTGTAGCGAAGATCTGAGAATGGAACTGTATCACAAAGACAGCGAAGTGGGCGGGGTTGGACGGGGAGAGGGGGGGGAGAAAACAAAATGCAGGGTAGCTGTACGTAAAAGAGTAGGGCCTTAAACATAAAGATATTCGCTAGTTAGCGGTTTGCCGATCTCTCGATTCGAGAAAAGAGAGAGAGAAGCAAGAAAGTAATATAAGGTGCAATTGCACTCACTTTCGAGTGTCTGTAAGCGGAAAGATTTGGTTAAGTGCAGTGGGGGGTATGGCCGCTTCAGGCAACGTTCGTTAATAGTATATACACGAGGTTGGGGGGGGAGGACCGTACGTTGGCAGAGTGAAAAAAAAGGCGTTAAAGTTATAGAAAAGAGAAAGAGAAGTGATAGAAAAAGAACATGAACGTACACGCCAGTGTATGCGTGTACTCATGCGTGTACGGATAAGGGTGTAAAAATTAACACGAATAGGAACACTATGTCAGATTCTATTCAGTCAGTTATGTGGCATGCGTGATACACGCTTAGGCGATCTTTCGATACATGACTGACGAGGCAGATTTTTTTTTTCCTCACAGTAGGTTGCCATTTCTTTCTGCGGTAGACCAGTTGCCATCCTAGGAGGATTCATACCTTTCCCAGGGGTCAGTTAGTTATCTGCCATGCGTGATACACGCTTAGACGATCATGTATCTTTCGATACATTACTGACGAAGCAGAAGTCCCCCCCCCCATTGCCATCTAAGGTTACAGAACCCAGTCTGTCTCGCTATTTATAGATAGCTGGGGGCGGGGAGAAGAAGAGAATTCATACCTTTCCCAAGGTTATTAGCACGTAAGTGAATGTAATGGATTTCACTGGAATTCGAACTCCGATTCTTCAATCCTCTAACCATTCAGTTATGTGACATGCGTGATACACGCTTAAGCGATCATGTATCTTTCGATACATGACTGACGAGAGTGATTTGCCATTTCTTTCTGTGGTAGAACCAGATCTGTCCTGCTATTTACTTGAGGAGAGAAGCAGAGGATCCATACCTTTCACAAGGGTATTAACTTAATCTAATGGATTCGACTGGAATTCGAACTCGGCTCTACGATTCCTCACACCGAGCCGCTATCCATTACTCCACCGTGTCTCCTATTCTATTAGTCACACAAATAAAATTAGTATCAACCAGCCGATTTTGGTAACATTTACAGAATATTACATTCACTTACGCGTAAAAACTCTTTGGAATGCTATGAATCCATCACTAGAGCGACGTTAGCTATGGGTTAAAAAGCAGATCAGGCTCCCTTGCCCACGTGTTCTCAAACTTTTTGAAGTTGGGGCGTAATTGAAATCCTACCAATAATTGTAAACGCACTATATACAAATTTCGGAGAAATATGTTATAATGAAGTCAAATATTGCAGAAAAGAAATAATGCAATGAAAAAATAAAATAAAATGAAACATACCTTAAGATTATTCCTTCTTGTGTATATGAGAAACATGAGCCTGGTGAGACGTGCGATTTCATTAATGTTTCGGTGTATATTTGATAGGCAAACTCTCATTTCCTCCTCAATACATTGAAGAGTTCCTCTCTTTTTGCACTAAGTTGTGGTGAGAGCAGAAAAACCTAATTCACATAAATATGAACAAGATGGATACCACAATATAATAAAGTAAATATATTTATTTCTTATATCTGGACGCGTATTTCTCTGGAATGACAGGGCGCACCTAGACATTTTCCAGGGCGCACCAGTGCGTCCAGGCGTACCATTTAAGAACCACTACCCTAGCCAGAGATGACAAGAAAAAAGAACAACTCTGGATTCAAAACCTGAACAAGGCTGTTTGGGGACCACATGGGACACTATTTACACTAGTTCACTGTATTAGGTTCTTCTAAAAGTGTGGCTGGTTCTGTACAAGCCTTTCCAACTGCACTCAAATCATATAGTTATTTTCCAAGCGTAGCTTAGATGTGGCATAAGGCCGAAAGTATGTGGCACGCAGTTAGGATCGAACTCACTACTCAGTCGTAATTGTTCTAGCGAAACAAGCTTGCTAACCATTACAACACTCAAATCATATATGCTGATTAGTCTGACTGTTCAGTTCTATGTGCTGAATTAGTGAACCTTTCTACGTCGAAGATGACGGGAGAGTCCTCGCTCCTAATAACCGTTACAGATGACCACACCGTAGATTATTTCAAACTTTCCGCTTTCCAAACAATACAAGAATTTTGACAAAAGGATACCACGCGGACTTCGTATTTCTTTGTGAAAATGACTGACACGATTGAAAATATTTGACAACGTTTAACACCAACATGAACTTCGGACAGTTTGTCCACAATTTTGATCTCAATACACAATACAGTATTCGAAAGTGAGAAAATACAATAAAAAAATTAAACGTACAAACCTTGATAATTCTTTTTTAATCAATCTATTAACGATGAGTACTTGCTTCCTAAAAGTACCTTATATATATATATATATATATATATATATATATATATATATATATATATGATGTAATGAATATGCATACACCTGGGTTCCCCCTCACAGTAATATGATTGGCTGGTGTCAGCCATAAATACAGACTGATGTGAAGGTACAGGACAACGCCTATTGACTACGCCTATAGTCTTTGTCTATTGCCTACGCCCATTGCCTACCAGTACGACGAGGACCAGTCCATTACGGTTACATGCTAGATTGTCCCACTCGGTTACACTAGTCCAAAACCACTTTGCTACTTCGAACAAATATATCCCTTTCTGGGACATATCAATATATATATATATATATATATATATAATTGACTCATGTATAAAGACAAGTAACTTCACCGGTGTCAATATGTCTCATACTAACTTCGAGCGACGTGCTCTGGATAGAATTAACTGGAGATATTTGTGCTAGAGTAATATCAGAAATTTCTAAATCAGTCATATTGTTCGGTTGAAATTTTTTAAGAGAGTTAAATCAGTTAATATATATATATATATATATATATATATATATATATATATATATATATATATATATATATATGATGTTTTTTTGTCTTTATTTTGCAATAAGTATTTATAAACAAAAAAAAAAATGTTGTTAGTTTTTTAAAAATTATATACATAAATTACATACAAATACAGATAGATAGATAGATAGATGTGAAAAGGTTGTGATCGATA